CTCTCTGAGGCGGCAGGCGCAGGGTCTCCAAAAGGTTAGGGTTTCAGGGCTTCAGATTGCAGATGTTGCAGGGTTTCTAAGATCAGCTGCAGTGGGGTCTTCGGAATGAGGGTTCTTGCGATTTTGGGTTTTCGGGTTTTTTGAAATTGAGGATCGGAGGGTTTAGGGTTTGGAGTTTGGGGCTTGGCATTTGGGGTTTAAAGGGGTTGGGGGCTCTAGGTAGTAGGGTTTGGGTTTGTAGGGTTCTAAGCTAAACCTCCCAACCCTCGAGGATCGTCGCTGGGCCCTGGCTTTCTGGACCAGCTTTCGAAATCACACCAGCCGAGTTGTAGTACTTCTTTTTTTTACAGGTTTGGTGTTGCCTGTTGCCAGGTGCGCTTCGCATTCTCCGCAGCCGCCCTGTGTCAGATTTCGACGGCTTCGACCTTCGGCGACCCGACTCTGAGATTGGTATGCCACTATGCCAAACAAACAAAGTAAGGCGCGATCCAGGGCAGTGTGCGTTAGATGCTGATAACGACGGAAGCCCCCAAGGATGCTTTTCGACGCCGCACGACGGTGGTCGGAGTCGCAGTGGCTACAGGCCGAATGCCTCCAAAATCAGTCATAGAACTGTGCCTGCGGAGTTGTCTTTGGAAGTTATTGATATACAGATTTCCCTGCACATGGGTTTCTGCAGGAGGACAAGGATCTCCGACCTGGATCCATCCTGGCCAAAGAGGCGCCCGGACTCGATAGTTTCATTCCTTGACATGGAGTCTTGGAGCCGTCAGAATCGCTTTCGCAAAGAATAGCACGCCGGTCACTTAAGCAGTCAGCTTGGGCTGTATTTTTATACTGTCACTGGCTGCCGATCTCGCCTGTGTGGGAGAGCTTTCAGCTGCATTCAACTCTCTCTGCATCCCCTATCCGTCAGCAACTTCAGCTTACACTGGCGATGCTCCTTCATCTGCTGAGTTTTCTGCATCATTACACTACAATACAAGGCATATACTACAGGCATGCATACACTTTGATGTTGACAGTCCTCATCTCCATAGTAAGCAACCAAAGGTGAGCCCAAAACTTCGTAGGCACAAGCCTTGTCGGCCCGGCAAGTAAAATGAAGCCTGAAATCCTGGATGAGTACGAACCGGGAGCCCCATCTTTGTCCACCTGGACACTGCGCGGAGCAACAGGTGTCAGTTGCCGAAGAGGGTGTTCTCACCTTCGGCTTGACACTGAAGGACTTCTTGCGGTGCTTGTGCCAGCAGAAGACCACTTGCGACTTTCCGCCTGTGGTTGTGCTAGTTGCGCATTCCCATGTTGATTGGAGGAGATCTTGGAAGGCTGGAGCTTGCTCTTCAGCTTCGCACCGGCTGCGGAGGCCCACGGCCCTAGCTTCGCGACTTCTCAGCCGCCTCAAGCATCACGGACCAACATGGAGCAGATAGATGCAGATTGCACAGTAGGCCCACGATTCCTACGCCGTCCGACGGGTACATCAGAAGGAAGGAGCAAAGCTTCAGAGGTTTGGCCTGCCAGGATGGCGCTGCAGATGGGAAGCTGCTGCCATCTCTCTATGTGGCGAGGGACTTCAGGGTTTAAGTTCCTGGGTTTGGGAGGTTTTGGATATGTTTCTGTAGAGTACAGCCCCCTTTAGAGCAACTATTGAGCGTGCAGATACAGCGGAGTTTGCCGGCCTTCGCTTGTTTGCTTCTTCGTGTCTTTCCTCATGATCTCTCCCGATTATTGAGAGGACGGCCGCCTCTCTGCAAGCTTCGCAGACAGCAAGGAGAGTTGCTCAGCTGCATTTTGAGGCATGGATTCATGTCGTCGCTTTTGCAGGGCGATGCTGTGCGAAAAGCTGTCCGATGCAACGCTATCATGGGACACCCTATACCCTTGTCGTGTTGGCCAATTCCTTCTTTGGTTTCTGGGTTTATAGGATCCCAAAACGAACTCCACCAGTGAGCGTAGCCAGGGTCCAGGATCGTTTGCAGGGTTTAGCTTCCGCCGGAGCAGCCTGGCAGCACGAAGCCTCGTCATTCCGAGGGAAGGAGGCTCTTCTTCGAACTTCGAACACGATCAGCCTAAAAGCAGAGGTAGTGCAGTAGAAGTTTGCAGAATTCTGGAGCCAATAAGATCACCTCTCGTGATTCCAGCACGGAAACTATGCTACAGTTCCCTCGGCCCTGTGCTGCATGGCGGCCCGGCAACTGCAGTGGAGGATGCGGGGATTCGGGATGCTGGTTTTGATGTTCGAGGGCCCCATGTGTTGAATACGTAGGAGACAGCAGAAGCCTCTGATTGCACAGCCGGATCGTGCGCGACTGGCAGTCTGTGGATGTAGCCTCCTCGATGTCTTTGCCAGGAGTCTCCATGTTCGGCGGATCTCTCGCTGGGCGCTCAACTTCGTCGATCGTGAACTTCGAACCTGCCAAGTGAGTTGATTAAGTATTCTGCTTTACAATTCATCGCAGAAGCATGCTAATGTTTTGGTGGCTCGGGGGCCCTCTCTGAGACAGCCACAGACCGTTGCCGGCAGACATTTTTGGCTCAGCTCGTGTCGCATCGGGTTTCCAGCGAGGAGGAGGGAGCAACCCGGCTGCGGAGTTCCTGAAACCTCTCGGTTCCCAAGCAATACCTCTCTTGATGTGTTTTGTGTTTTAATGGTTGTCCTTGTTTAAAGCTGAAGAATGGGAAAAGCAACCAGCGTCTCAAGGGCCTACTTGGGAACTAGTCCTGAACTTAAAGTCATCCCAAGGCATGTCTTGAGATAGTTATGCCTCTTCCTTGAAATATGCTGCAGGTCCCATGGCAGCAGACGGTATAGTCACTTGAGCACGAAGCTGTGGTAGAGAGCTGAGGACATGGCGGAAGTGGATTTGGAAAGTGGGTCCACGCAGACCACCTCGACCTGGACTTCAGAACACCGTGGCTCTGTCGTCATGGTCCGCGTTATTGAAGCTTGGTTGCTTTAGGCATAAGCTGCAGCCCTGCAACAGACACGTATTGGTTGCGCGACGGAGGTTCGCAAATCATCGCTTCATCCTATGTTATGCAAGACTTCGGGTAATTTTGGGTGCTCCTCTCTAGACCGTTGGGGCTGTTCATGGGCTAGTTGGGTCCTCTGGTTTTTACGAGGCCGAAGGGTCAAGGTTTTTGTGAATCAGTTGCTGCACTTTGACTGATGTTTCTTGGCGCAGGTCATGGCTTTTCCGTGTGCTATTGACCCCATATGGAGCTCATGTAGTTATTTAACGTATGCACGTCCAAGTCTTTCACATGTATTTATAAGTATATAATGTAAGTTTTTTTTCGGGCCACGCACAGTTTTGATACGGCAACCGAGGAGTTCTCTCGGATAGCTCTAGCAATTGCTGGCTACGCGGTCGCCTACTACTTCTCCATTCATGGCAGCTTGGTCGGTGCGGTTTAGGACTTAGTGTTGCCACAAGGGAGGTTTAAGATCCCACTGCAGATAGAGCCAAGTCGTAATTGGATCGTGCTTGTGGGGGTAGGGCCTGTCCCCGCATTCCGCTCTCTGTCTCTCTCTCGCTGTGTCTCTCTATGTGTCCTCACTCTTCCGGTAGATGGATACGTATAACGTGTATGTATACATGATATATGTCTGTATGCACAGACATACATACAGACATATATATATATATATATATATGTATACACAACAAAGTCACACACACACATACATATATATATATATATCCAGTTTCTGGTTGTGATTACCATAGTCATGCTTTATACTGGTAGTATGTACATACATATATGATACATGTACATCTCCCTATCTCTCTATCTCTCTCTCTCTGCCCATGCATGTGTGCAGGTGTGCTGTGTGTGGGTGTGTATTTGTGCGTATAAACATGCATACGCACATATCTACATACATGTTATATATATATATATACATGTGTATATGTATGTATGTATGTATGCATGTATGTATGCATGCATGTATGTGTGTATGCGTATGTATGTATGTATGTATGTATGTATGTATGTATGTATGCTTTGAAGCACATACACATACATATCTATCGATCTATCTATCTATCTATCTATCTGCCGAGTTATCTATTTATCTATAGTTGTATATGTATACGTGTATGTATATGAGTAATATAGTATCATATTATATGGTATACTATATACACACATATAATATATATACAAACATACACACCCGTACATACATACGTACATACAGACACAGAGAAAGAGAGAGAGAGAGAGAGAGAGCGAGAGAGCGTGGTAAACACGTGTGCATAAAACACACACACACACACACATGTAAATATGCAGAGAGAGAGAGAGATACATACGCACGTACATACATACAGCTAACAACTAACTAACTACCTACCTACCTAACTAACGAACTAACTAACTAATCAACCAACCAACTAACCAACTAACTCACTATCTAAGTAACTAACTATCTAACTAACTTGCTAACTAACTAACTAACTAGCTAACTATGACTATAACTGACTAACTAACTAACTCACTGACCAACTAACTTACTAACTAACCAACCAACTGACTGACTGACTGACTAATTAACTAATTAACTAACTAACTAACTAACTAACGAACTAACTAACTAACTAACTAACTAACTAACGAACGAACGAACGAACGAACGAACTAAGAAACAAGCTAACAAACAATCAAACAAACAAAACACATTACCAATTAGCCAACTAGCCAACTAACTCTCTAACTTGCTAACGAACTAACTAACTAACCAACTAACTAGCTGACTAGCTAGCCGGTAGCACTGGTTAGTCCCAAAACCCCTCAACCCCACCTCGACTCAACAAGGTTCCCGGGAGGATGCCGCTCGGTTCTTGCAGCTGGCGCTTTCTGTCGCCCTCAGCGGGACCTGTGCGTTGGAAGGTGGTGTTTGGCTTAGGGTTTCTAGGGCTTCAGGGTTCAGGGTTTTTAAGGCCTTTTTGTTTGTAGGGCTTTGGGTGAGGCCGTGTCAGGTGGTAGTTGCGATTTCTGGGTCACCAGGCTCTGGCGACCCTAAAAACTCAAGCCTCATACCTACTTCCGAAGCGATCCGTTTGCAGGTGCTTGCTTCTATGAAACCGCCGCACGCCAAAAGGGGCTCCTGGTCTTTTGTTGCAGAATCTTCTTCTAGGTTTTAACTTAGCTTAAGACTTAAGATCCTTGAGCTCGCATTTTGAGATGAGACAAAAGTCCGTTGCTTGACGACACCAAGCAGGTATGATCGAGGGTTCGACTTCTCGACCGGACGAAACCCATATGCCACACAGAGCACGCTGTGGTTCGCATCGAGTTGCATCGTTGGCGTGGTTGCCTTCTTTGCGTACCCCCGGGAGTCTTCGGCGCAGATCGTCCTCGCGACCCTCCAGCTCTTGTTCTTCATAATGTCAGCCCTGAACCATGGGTATGAAACAGTTGCTCACGGCAACTGGCGTTGGCAGAATATGAACCGTCCCCTGCTGAGCTTGGCGATGGTCGCAGGCGCAGTTTCCTGGCATCGAAGCAATCTTCTACCAGTAGGTTGAACCCTCACATGTGATCCATCGCACGGCCGTGTCTTACAACATGCCAAACCACTTGAGCCACACACCGGGTTGGCTCCTTGGGCGCAGTGCCCTTAATAATTCTGTCTGAGGCCCCACACCGTACCTGCTGCTTTGGGCAGCTATTGCGATCAAGATCATCTGCCCGGCAAGTAGATGCTGAAGATTACAACTGCAGGAAGCAGAACGGTAGGAACGCAGGGGCACTATCAATCTTGCAGTAGACGGAATTCTGGTCCCTGGCGTGACAGGACAAATTCAATAGGTTGGAGATCAGGAAATCATGTCCTTGCAAAGCAAAACGGGAGAGAGCTTGCAGCCATGAAACTTAGCACCATGACAACACTCTTCTGACCAGTTGCTGACTACTGCGGGCCCTCCGCATGTAGACCCACTTCCTCCACGCAAGGTTCCGATCCTCTTGAAGGACACTCAACTCAGTCATTTCTGAGCTCCCGAATTCGAATTTTGTAGCCGCTGGCCTTGAGTTCCCTTGTACAGCGCAGGGGCGAGGGAGGCCCTTCGAGAGCTCTCGGCAGAGCGCAGGTTATATACTCGGAGCCGGCTCTGTAAAGATGGGCTCAAGTAGGAATATATGCCCGAAATTAGAATGAACCTATGGCCTCTGAACCGCGGAATCGGAGATGCAGACGTCTAACTTCAAGTTAGCTCCAAGTCAGGTAAAAATTTGAGGATGGATCGTGACCGTCGCCTCCGGTGACAGCAGTCAGTCGGGGATGGTATGTGTACATGTATGTATATCCTTTTGTATATGTTTGTAGAGAGAGAGAGAGAGAGTGAGAGAGAGAGAGAGGGAGAGAGAAAAAGATAAAGAGAGAGAGAGAGAGAGCGGGAGGGGGGGCTCTTTCTCCTGTCTGTGTGGAAGAAGAGAGACAGCCGCAGACTTGGGCCCACAGACATTTTGGGCTCAGCTCGCGTTACCTCCGGTTTCCAGCGAGGAGGTGATAGCAACCCGGCTGCACAGCCCCAGAACCCCGAATCTCAATGGAATTGACCTGTGCCCCAAAACGGTTACTTTCACAATAGCTAGTCTGTAGGGAAATCAGAGCTAGGAATTTCGAAAATGTAGATGTATTATGATGATTATGTATTGGTAGACACTAGTAGACTTAAACCCCCAGACATGCCAAGCCTCGTCAAGCCTAAGTACCCTGATGGTTCAGCAAGAAACGAGCCAAGAAGCTCCGAGTTCAGAGAGGTTAGGGTCTGATAGTTTCTTATGTATGTGCGTTCGGATGAGGGCATTGTTTGGTTGGGCTTGTGGTGGCATCCTGGGTTTCCGGAAATGTCCGAGGCAGGGAAGCCACCCTAAGTCAGAAAGCGATCGTTTAGCTATATTTAACTTCGACCAAAGGCGTTTTTCTGCGTATCGATTACATTACATAGCGCAGGACACGACGCGAGTCAATATGGAAAGCATATGAAGACTTGTGGAGCCGGCTGAACCCTAGAAAGGTTAGCAGCAGGTACACGCACGTGAGTTTCAAGCTGTGGCACAGAGCAGAGGACATGGCAGACATGGAGTTGGAGAGTGGATCCGCGCAATCCAAATCGACCAGCACTCCGCAAGAGCGCCGTGGCTCCGTCGTCATGGTACGCGTCATTGAAGCTTGAATTGAATTATCCTGGACGGTAAACTGCACTACCGCGCAGTATCCCCAAAAGGGCACCTTCAACAGCGACGATTTCTTTTTCTCCTTGCACTTATAGGTGTGCGACACGATTTGCTGAATCCACTTCCCAGATTGGCTGCCGGGTGTCCGGGGAGGCTGGAGTGGCCGCTCCCTCATAACAAGACGCATCCATTGCTCTTCATTCAGGGGGCACCACCAGAGCTCTGGCGTTTGCGTGAAGCATTTTCAGAGTCAAGAGCAGCATTCCGGAAATGCCTTCCTTTCGTAATTGCTATGTCGATTTCAGATCCTCTAGATTCGCTGTCGATCTTTGTTTAAAGGTAGACCCTAGGCCCGAAGCTTAGCTTCTAATGCAGCAAATGAGGAGTTCTCTCGGATTGCGCTGGCCATTGCTGGCTACGCCGTCGCTTACATCTACTCTGCGCAGGGCAACCTGGTCGATAGCACCAGCTGTTGATGTTTCAAGGAAACTGTAGGATCCCCGTGGTCGCAGAACCTCAAGACAAAGCTAATAAAAACCATGCTTGTGAGTATTGCCTGGGTCAGTATCTAATCACGTACTTATAACAAAGGCGTGTTCACTATCAAGTCCAGCCACTCTCCACCTCATAACGTGCGGCCACAAGGGCACGACGAGGATGCGGCGAGGCTCCTGCAGCTGGGCCTTTCCGTCGCCCTCAGTGGAACCTGCGCGCTGGAAGGCGATTCATCGTGTTTGGCGGGTGTTGGCGTCAGATCTTTCGAGGGTCCAGAGAGCCCAATACACCTTAAATAAGGAATATACCTTAAACTATAGGGGCCTTAGTATCATGATTAGGGCAGGTAGTTCTGGATTGTTTCGGCTTGATGTAGCAACGCATCATTGCAAGTAGACGACTGGCTAAGGCCAACTGCCAATGTCTGTAGTCCGCGATGATCCGTGGACTCTACTTGCAGGTATTGTAGTCATGTTTACAGCGACTGATTGCGGCCTTAACCCAACGCGAACTTTTCTTTGCAGGTATTTGCTTCTACGAAACTGCGGCACGTCAAAAGGGGCCCCTGGCATCTGCTTGCAGCACTCTTTTCTTTGTTCCAAGTTGAGCTACTATAGGTAGGTACGGTACGGCATCCCGAAACAACCTATTACATCGATGTCCGGTTTGTCAGCTAGCAGCTTCCGGTGCAGGGACTCCGAATAGACCGACCGAAACAGGCCCAGCCCTGGCCCAGTCAAGAGCCTAGTAGAAACCAGTGCCATGCCTTTGCAGTATAGCCTATAGTCGGGTATAGAACAGCATCTAGTTTAGTGTATGATGTAGTGTATATAGTGTAGAGGTTAGGAGCAGAGGCAATTGGTAGTTTGCTGACGGTTTGCTTTGTCACCGAACAGGTATGATCGAGGGTTCGACTTCTCCGCCGGACGAAACCCATACGCCACGCAGAGCACACTGTGGTTCGCATCGAGTTGCATCGTTGGCGTGGTTGCCTTCTTTGCGTACCCCCGGGAGTCTTCGGCGCAGATCGTCCTCGCAACCCTCCAGCTCTTATTCTTTCTGATGTCGGCCCTGAACCACGTGTATGAAACAGTATCTCACGGCAATTGGCGGTGGCAGAATGTGAATCGTCCCCTGCTGAGCGTGGCCATGGTCGCAGGCGCAGTTTCCCAGCAGGAAAGCAAGGCTTTGTTTTGGCTTCAACGCCACATGTCCTTAGTCCCACGACCGCACAGTGCTACAACAGGCCCAACCCCCCTTTCCCTGTGGACCCTAAGCCCCGAGGTTCCGATCCTCCTGAAGGCCTCGGAGGCCTGAGAGCCGCTGATTTTCGGACTGATGCCTTCCCGGCCATAGTACAAGCCAGCCCTTTACACACATGGGGGGTTTCCGAAAAGAAGGGGCACCTTATTTTGGGGGTCCTTATAATAGGGATCCTACTATTTAGAGTATTATATTAGGTCCCCTTATTTTCGAAACCCCCCACATTATGCCAATACAAGCCCGGTGAGATGAGTAGTAGTACAGTTTCTACGATATCTCGTACTTGAGAAGCTCAACCAGCTAATAATGTTTGAGGGTGAGGCGGCCAAATCCCCTGCGGCCACCGCCTCTGAGTTCCGCTGTGCTGCTCTTGATTTCCCTGTACAGCAAAGGGGTGAGGTGGTTTTGTGAGCTCTCTGCAGAGAGTGCAGGGTGGTAGAGTTGGAGCAAGCTTTGTAAAGCTCTGCGAGATCGGGACCGAGTCAGAATGCCCGCTCATGCAGAGAAGTCTGCTTCAGTTATGAGCTCGGGGGTTATGACCCCTGCAGTGTGTAATTCAAGATTGTTAGACTTGCTACCGGTTCGACTCGAAGAAGCAACTGCAAGCGAAATTCAAGTGGCTGGGATCAAATAAGTGTCGGGGATTCTGATCGTGTTCCCTCTTAGTATCTTTGGGCCGGCCATAACCGCTAGGTTCGGGCCGTGTAGCTAATATCTCAAGTAGTAACACAAAAGAACCCTGATGGCGGTTACATGTAAGTAGTGTTCTGTAATGTAGCCCGACACCCTAGTCTATTCAATTACGTCATCATGATGGCAAAACGCTGGAAGCCCACTCGAACCCTTCTCTAACCCTCTTCTAACCCTGAAGGTCCTTACATTCATCAACCCTCACAGAGCCCTTCTAAAGCCCAGAAAGCCCCATCTTAGACATCCACTTATATAGTCCCTCACTACCGTCAATACAATTCCTTAGGTAAGGTAGTGCTCTTCATATCTCCTCTCATGGACCTGCCCAGGTCAACCTCGCGGAAGAGGAGTGACGGCTCTGTCCGCTGCGGAAGATTCCGAGTCCTACCTATAGTCTCCATTGTAGTTCCTTTTTGGGGATACCTTATAAATCCTTTATATATATATATATAGATATATATATATATATATAGAGATATGTATATATATATATATAATTGGTTAAACCAACAAATGACAAAGGAACTACAAAGGAGACTATAGGTGTTTCTCAGGGCCCAAGAGATCAGAGCTGCGGCTCAGGGTTTAGAACGTACCTTTTACGGCTTAAGGCCCAAGAAGGCCCCCATACATCGACTGTTCAGAACCACAGCCGTCTATGGAGATTAATCAACATAAAGTAAAGTTTATGTATAGGTGCCGTCGAGGGCTCCTGCTGCTGCTAGTTCGGCAGGCGGGCTGTACAAAAGGGAGCCGTCCTACGCCTGTGGACCCAACAAAACCTTTTAGCTTTGTGGATATGGAGATGGTCTGCAACTGAGGAGCTATAAATCCTGTTACTTGGCAGGCTTTGGTGCAATAGCACTATAGGTAGCCCAACCCTCGAGTAAATTAGTAAAGCAGCGCGGCACGAGTCAGCGAAGGAGGTAGCCATCAAATTCGAATTCCAAGATCCCAATCAGAAGTGAGCATCACCCCTCCATCCCGAAAACTTTGCGATCCTACAACTCTTACGGCCCAAAAGCCCATAATGAAGCCCTATAGACTCTGCCGTCAACTTAAATCCTGGGTCCAAGAGGGCGAGTTTCAAGCTCGACTGATACCTGCCTGGCCGGAGAAAAAGCGATCATCTGAGGGGCCGAGTACAGGTAACCTTTACCCATAATGTTAAAAGGTTAACCTCTTATGGTGGGCTGGTATATTCAGCTCCGAAGTCGCTTTGATTTGAGGATTGAGGCTGAGGATTCTGGAGCTGGCTATAGACTTCGCGTTCACCTGTTGTGCATAAGCTTCCTTTCCCTGTAAATGCACAGTCAAGTACTCATTATGCAGCGGTCTGGACTTCCACTTTACAGGGTGACGCTACTTTTTATAAAGCTTGCTCTGTCTAATCTCTGTGCTCTGTTTGGTCTGTGGAGGCAGCTCTGTCTTGATCCGAATGAGGCTTAAAGCAGGACCTCGAGAAGACTGCGTCGCAGCCATGCCTTCAGGTGCTCGGCTGAGATCCACAGCTGAAGCTGGCTTTGAATTAAGGTTCGATACAGGTATAGTTTCACGTTCGGCACAGGCTCAGCACTGTTTGTTCGGCCACGTAGCAGCGGGTTGCATGTGGCACTGCGGTGTATACGACACTTTCATGTCATGGTAGCCCCACTGTGTGGATTCTAAAGGTTGCATCACTCAAGTTCAGGCTTCCCACTGCACATATCGCCAGGCAGGCCAACTTGCGCTGTTCTCCCTGCGTCGCTACGCTCTGGGTGCCGGCGCTAGTTGCACCGTGGGCGTGGATGGTGCCACGATCCTGGAAACTGGGTGCAGAGACTGGTGGGAAGTGTCCATCCGTGTGTCTCCCTGGATATCTGTGTGAAACCTGCGACTGACTTCAGTTTCAAACGACAAATCACAAGCTTGCACATGTACTATCATCACTGAGGTTATGCTGCTCCTGCCGGACGACAAGTGATAAGAACGCGCAAGAACACGCAAGTACGAGTATCAACAAGACCTACACACGGTAGACACGCCACGAGCGCGGCCGGATGTAGTCTAACTTACCTAAAGCAAGTATGTTGAGAGGGTACCCGCAAGGACTGCATGGTTGCTGTCGATGTCTCAACTTCCAAGTAGTTGCGTTTCTCGTTGTACACTGTCGAAGAAAAGCTGGAACCTCAGCCTCTGAGCCACGTACTCCCGACGTTTCCATAGCAAAAGCCAGCCCATGTTTCCAGAAGCACTCATCCCAAGATGCCAAAAAACACTTTATCCCAAAGAAGCCCCAACCCCAAGACAAGGATCGAAGCTCAAGGGTTCTATCGCCGAAGCTCGAAGCGAGAATATCGCAGCCTGACCAAATGTCCGTGTGATTTCTCTTTATGCAGAACTAGTCGCGTCTGTGATAGTCACAGTGATAGTGTAGCAGAATGCCCTAACCCCCCAGGTGCCTACTATTTAGGGCCCTAGGGGCTCTAGTACCCTATATAGTAGGTACCTGGGGGGTTAGGGAGAATGAATGTCTCCAATGCCGAATCTGTCTCAAGACTTCCCTAAGGCGCCAGCTGCATACGCTGCAGCAGGAAGCAGCCGATAAATCAGCCTAATTAAGTCCCTCGAACCCTAAAGCCCTAAACCTGAACTCAGAGCCCCATTTTGGGGAGTTTTCACTCAGCCCAGGATATTCCATGCCCTGCAAGCTCTGCGCAAGCAGCCTCAGGCAAACAGAGGACTTGCTTGCGACATGGTTAAGGATTTGGGGTTGAGAGAGCTCCGGGTTCAAAAAAGGGTTGGGGATTTGAGATTTGGTGTTGGGCGTGCTGCTTCCCAGCTGATCGGCAGCGTCTGGGTTCAACAAAAGGATATGCAAGAGAGATCAATGCGTAAGTAGCATATATACCGCCCTGGTCAGTATACTTGTGTCACAACCGTTGTTGTAAGATTCAATAGGAGCAATAGGATGCCTGAAGTACAGCAATGCCCTAGACCCGCCAACTCTAGCCGATAGCCTAACTGCCCATTATGGACTAAAAACCATCAGGCTCCAGTGAAGAGTACCTGGAGGGGTTCCCGGTACACCCTAAATGAACAACGATGCGCCTTGTTTGATCTTGCCCTGAAAACTAGAGGAGCCTGCAGTTGGTTTGCAAAGATGGCTGCGGGACCAAGGCCGCCTGCAGTTTGGGAGTCCCGGGGGCGCAAACCCCATGTCCTGAGTATGGTAGTATGCGGGCCTTCTACACTTCAAAGGTTCTGATCAAGTTTTGTAAACCCGAACCCTAAACCGCCAAAATAATCTGAAGCTTGTTGTTCAGCCCCCCAAACCTACAACACAGCAGGCGATGATCCCATACTTCTGGAGTTATAATCCGAAATCCGCGGGTTTCCGGGATGCGAGGGGCGGGATTAAAGTCCGTCAGGGGTTTAGGGAGTTGGGGTTTGCAGGGGGAGCGGTATTCAGGGTATTCAGGGCTCAACATGCAAGAATCCAGCCTGTCGAGGACCCTTGATTCAGAATCGGCGTGCTGACTGTCATGCTAGCTTGGACCCTTTGATTCGTGGTGTCGAAAAGGTCAGCGACAGGGCTGTGCTAGTTAACCAGCTTGGGACTGTTCGCATCTGAGTGGGTATCTTGTTGAGGATAGAAGTTTAAAGCCACGGAGGTACCGTACTTTAAGCTTATCTTGCATAGGATGCTCGACCGTTTACCCTGCATGATTTGCATATGCGGAGTTGTTTTGTTCCGATTTGGTTAAGGTGTTGTCGTGCAAAAAGCATATGACGTAGCATCTTGGCATGGAAAACACGGTCTCATGAACCATTTCATTAGGAGACCTGTCGCAATAGAATCGTTTTCTCGGAAGCTGCGAGATCGTCAACTTCGTTTTGCCCTGAGCACGCCGTCAGGTGGCAGACGGCACTGTTGGCCACATGGTCGCTGGGCTTCTTCGGGAGTCTTGTTGAGGGTTTAGGATTTAGGGTTCAGGGTTTCGGGACAGAACGAATAGAAGAGAAAGGCGACTTGACAACACAGTGCAGGCTAGATGGAGGCTTCAATTTCAGGCCGCCGCCACGATCCTAAGCCCGACTACAGCCCATATAAGGGTGTCTCTATGAAGCCAAGTACCTCTAGACCTGGACCCTAAACTCTTGAACTTTTGGAAAGACAGGTATACCGACCACTGCGCAGCTGCCCGGGCAAAGACGCTGCTTGCCGTCGTAGTTCGGGGTATATAGGGCTTTTGAGCTTACAAGCATTGCAGACCCTAACTCCTAGCCCTTAGGCAAACCAGAACGTCTCAAGTCAGACCGTCGTTAGAGACCTTGTCAGACTTGTCCGTCAGTTTAAAAAAACGCAAAACTTCCAACCCTAAGCATATGAAGGCAGGAAGTCTCAGGCCTAAAAACCCAGGCAGCCTTGAAACTTACGACCCTCTTGGAAGCTTCAGCGAATCCTTTCGAAGCCGTCATCCAAAGCCTAGCACAACTAAACACTAGGCATTTTGGGAGTGGTTCTCGGCAGCCACAAGATCCTCTTTCCTCTTCGAAAATGCCCCTTTTGATGTGGAGCTGGAAGTCTAGAAAGCTTGGGGTAGTCGTCAGTATATAGGGGTCTGAATATGATCATGCGTTTATGCACCTTGAAAACCCTGTTCTGTTGTCAAGTCCTCGATTTTTCCCGCTATTTCCCAGAGGTCCCGCTTCTGCAGAAGCTGCTTTGCCGCCTTCGCGGCTCAGATGGCGAGGCCCAAATGCCCCAAACACCGGGGTGGTTAAAAGGTATTTACAAAGTTCTCACCGGTTTAGGTATGTAACTGTGGATATCGTCGATTTTAATTGTTGCAATGTACCAGGTATTAGAAGTTCAGTATAATTCAGGTATGGGATTAATGTGGGTCTTCAGCTGAGATTTCCGAGGTTCTCGAATCCCTGTAAAATTGAAGACAACTCGTGTAGAAACCGATCACCCCGCTAAGAAGGAACCAAGCCCCAAACCCGACAACTTTCTAAATACAGTACCTTTCAACGAAGCCTTGAAGCAACTCTTAGAGGCCCCTTGAAAGCCGTGTGACGGACAGGGCCTCTTTCCTCAGCGCCTCTTTGCCGCCACGGAGCTGGTCCGTCTGGCCGAGGATGGGCCCACAGATACGTTGTGTTGCAACGGATTTCTGAAAAAGGTTCTCTAGAGGGGCTATCATCTTTCATAGTGTTCCAGGAGTTCGGAGTCTAGGGTTTTTCCAAAGGTGCTCAACGGAATTCCAAACAAGAGTCTTCATAGAAGGGATCCTTAAGCCTAACTGCCTTCATCCGACATTTTGGCGCTTTTGGCTTTGAGGATGTACGTAGCGCTGGCGTGGTAGGGCTGTCGGAACTGTACCTATATTCGTGGAAGAAGTTGAGGGCGGTGTCCATCGGGGCACATTCAAGCATCCCTGGGACAAAGGAGGTCCGAATCACGGCTTCGGGTTTTGTGGTTAACCTCCCACCTCCAATTGCTGAGCTGAAGGGCATAAGCATTTTGGCTACAGGATTCAGCCGGAAATTGCAAGACCCTGAGACTCTTAATAACATGCACGTGTGAGCCCAAAAGCATTTTCTCAACAAACACCCGCGAATACCGGCGTGAAGTTTGGGTTTAGCTTAGTTCTGCCTCCTCGGAGGATCTGGCGCATCTGGAGCTTCACAGCGATGAGGCCCTTGACCCCAAGACCACCCCAAAGCCCATATCTAAACCGTCAAACCCCGGAGGCTAATGGTAAGCCCTATAGCCACAGAAGCCTTAAACCCGACAGCCCCTAGATTCTGACCCCCTAAAGCTGCAATCCTTGAGACCCTGAAGCCGAAGTTTGACTCTCCGACGAGTTGGGTTTAAGCTCCCGGAAGGAGCTTCGGGGTTTCAAGGCATCAGAGCTTGATCGGGCGATTCTGAGACTGAGAACTGAACAGTTGCACTCCCTCATTATTGTTGGGTGCTGGTACAGCACAACCCAGAGCAAATGTTCCAGTTGTTGGCTTCTGGGACATGATTCTTCGCTGAGCCGCAGACAGCAGTCCGTAGTTGTGGGTTGGGGACAGATTCTTGTGGCTGTGGCGAGTGGCTCTGAGAGACAACGACGGCAGGATCACGTCTCAGAAACCCCAAACATCTCAAGGGCTCCAAGTAATTATCGAAGCAACAGATACTTGTGCTCAAGACCGTAGCCGTAGTAAGTCTTAGTAGTTGCAATCTCTTCTTTTAGGCAGTTTGCAAGTAATACTTTTAGTTGAAGGATGCCCTAGCACCGAAACCTTGGACCCCGAAGGACCCCTCAAAACTGAGACAGGAAGCCTAAACTCCTGAACCCTAAACCCTGAGTTGTGAGAGTGTAAACCCTAAAAACTGAGACAGGAAGCCCTGAAATCCTTGGGCCGGGCGCTTCTCTTGCGGAGGACGGGCCTTGTGGGTTGACGATTGCAGGGGTTCAGGGTTTGGAGGTGTAGGTTTTTTGGGGTTCAGGGAGGTCTAGAGTTTTAAGGTTTAAGGTCTGCTTTTTTTGTCTGGGATCCTTATCATGGTTTCCTTAAGTAAGTCCTTAATCATGTAGGTCTTGCGGAGTGTAGCTTCGAAGAGCGCAATAGATAGGTGCTTGGCTTCGGACAGTGTGTGACTGTGAGCTGGTGCTTGTGTGGAGTACATGACTGTTAGGTACTTGGACCCTTAAGAGGAGAATTTAACAGGACATCTCGAATGTTTTCGGGTTCAGGGTTGAGGGTTTGCCACCACATGTGATGTTAATGCTAATTTGCCTTCCGGTGTTCGGCTTGGCCTTGTTTGGTGTGTGTTTGGATACTTCCCGGCTTGAGGGTGCTTAGGCGGAGACTTTAGCTAGGGGTCGAGGTTTGTGATTTGTGATGTGAAGTTTAGGTTATTGTAGTCTTGAGACTGTGCCATGGCGATCCAGGAGGACAGGGATCAGGCTTTTTGTCAGGTGAGGTCTACCTGTACGTAAATCCATGTTCAACCCTCTGCTCCAAGTATGAAGGGATAAGGCCCCGATACTTTTTTGGCTCAGCCTTTCCGGCCCAAACGCCCAAAACGTCCCAATCGCCGCCGCTGCCTTTCGAAGCCATGGCCGTCGCACGAGGTCGCACCGCTCGCGCTGCCCTGGTCCTGGCACCTCTGCCTTTGAAGCCTTGAGTAGGGTTTATAGGTTTAGGGCTGATGTATACGCATTCATCGATCTATCCAGGCATGCGTTTTACATTATATTCTGCTTTGTTGCATTGCATTTTGGATCAATATATGTAACAATACACTAGAAAATAATAGACGTCCAGCGAAATTAACATCTACGTACATTAGCGTGCAGTACTTCGCATTACATAACACGGTGTTGCACTGCACTGCATTGTATTTCCTTGCATTGCACGACATATCCTGAAGCTGTGGAATAGGCCCAAGGACCTAAAGAAGGTACATGATCCGGCAGAGTCCGAGTGTGAGAGCGTGATGCAGGTACATGGGCCCTTGGCCACGTCAACCTTTCAACACAAGTAGGTCGCAATCACTACAAAGCCCTCCTGACCCGGAAACCCTTGTTTCCAAAATCGAAACCAAGCCCTAACCCCCCAATTGCCTACTTTTTGGGGCCCTAGGGGCTCTAGTACCCTATATAGTAGGTACCTGGGCAGTTAGGGAAGATGTCCAGGCGCTCGTCGTGCCTGCCACGCTTTGCTTCACCGGCGCGTTCGCCCCGGCGGTGGAGAGCCGCGCAGCTCGGCAGGCCGAGGCCGCGGCCGCGAGCAGCAGCGGCTCCTCCGTGGCTCTGGTGAAGGCCCGGGAGGGCCTAAAATATCCTGAAATTCTGGGCGTTTTTTTTTTTCTGGTTTTCTGTGTGGATCTCCGCTTTCGGGTATTCTGGTAGGGATCTTGGGGGTTGCTTAGGCCCCCTGAGGCCCTTGCTGGTTGGGTCGAGGGTTTACTGTGTACGCTCATGCTTTCGGATCTCGAATTTTCATACATGCCGGCCTCAACGCATGACTCAACAAAAGCTTGGCGTCAGCATCAAGCCCGAAAGCTCGAGCACGAAACTGTCATTTCCTGGACGGTAGAACGGCCCTCAAAACCTGACCCTATGCTTCCAGGGACCTTATTATTGGGTCCTTAAGGGGTCTAGGGCCCGAACTATAAGGTCCTGGGAAGCATAGGGTCAACGTTCAACTTCATCAAGGACTGGTAAGGCCTTATCAACGACTTCAATCGAGGACCCATAGACTTTCCATCAGGTGACCAAGGAGAACACTCTCGCGACCGCCGGCGTTCTCGGAGGTCTGCCGATGGGATGCTTTTATAGGATTCAAGATTTAGGGTTTAGGTTCTGTTTCAGGTTTGAGGCGCTGCAAACCGTAAGCTAAACTTGACACGTTTCTCTTGACGAGTGTTCAAGCTATGACTTTCTGAACGATCTAGGATCTGCCCAGAGTAGCAAAGGGATCTGGTGATCGGAGTCTTGCATGGGGTGGTTTCACATCCTAGCACGTCCCAACTCCACAACAAGCCAAAAAGCCTGCGCTGCACGCCGTCAAACCCTTATCCCTGATTCCTTTGCTGCCCCAAACTAGGCTCCTCACCTTTGAATAGCAAACCTTACAGCCTTACAGCCCTTAAGCCCTCAAAAACCCTGGACACTCCTTAACCCCAAACTCCCGAAGCCTCAACCCCAGACCTCAACAAACCTTCAACACCTTAATCTCTAAACCCTAAGCCACACATCCCAAAGCTCCAAACCCTAAATCCTGCGTCCCAAACCCCAAGAGAGGTGTGGCTGGTCTCCTCCTTGGCGGCTTCTGGGTCGGTGCCGCCGGCTTCGTAGCCACGTCCTACCTGGCGAAGAAGGAGAGCTTTGAGCGGGGAGGGGTTCTGGATTTTCGGACTGCTTCGGGGGTCCGCTGTTACAGACTTCAAGCAGTTTAGGGATTCAGGTAGGTTTGTTTTCTGCAGAATTTCCGACATTTGAAAACTCATGGTTTCATGTAGGGTTTGGTTCAAAGCCTAAGGGCTGTGCGTGTCAGCTTCGGGATTTGTAGGCGTCAGGACATTCTGTTTTAGGGTTTCTAGAATTGGGGTATATTCGCTTGTTTGGGTGGTGCGGTTTATGGAAGGACGGAACTGCGCCCCAAGCGTCGTCGTTGTCTCCTTTGTCAGGGCTCTTTGGGTTATTTTGGTGGCTAGGAGTGAAAAGTTTAGGGCTAGAAGAGCTTTAGCCCGATATGAGACAACCCTGAACTATCAGGCCCCACGCACGATTGCTTACAGTGGCAGGCAGCCCTCTGTTGCGGCCAGTGCTGGTGGGTGGGGGCCCTTCCGTAAACCGTGCTGCAATGCAACTGCGCCCACCGCAATCTTGAAGTCCGGAACTACACCCTCCCTGTCAGATTTAGACTCCTACCTGGACCCATGAACCCCGAACCCTGCACCAGACCCCAAGACTGTGTATTAGATGTTTCTGAAACCCTGCAAGACCCGTGCACGCCTTGAAACATGAATATGATCCGAAGGAGGATTCCGATGTCGCTTCCGTGTTGAAGCTCGCCCCAACAGACTGCTTCCTTGAGGGATTCCGGGGTTTCAAGGTTTCAGTTGAAGGGAGGCCTAAGATGTTTCTTTTAGAAGCATGGCAGCTGGCATCCCGAGCCCCACTTGGTGGACAACTGGGTTTGGGGGCCTTTGTTTAAGCATTGTTTTAACAACTTTATGAGTATATGAGTACCTAAACCCCCAGAAGTAGGCGGAATAATGGTCCAAAACCTCTAACAGGGTATTATTCTACATATTTTCGGGGTCCAGGTAGTACTTGTTATATCAGAACCTGTGACCTCCCTCCCTCCCCTCCCTGCGATGTCCAGTCACCGAGGAAGGGCGTGTCCAGCGCATCTCTCGAGGCCGTGAATTTTGTGGACTACCTCAACTCCAAGCATCATGGTTTCTAAAGAGGCTGATATGATGGGGCGTCTAGGCCTTAGAGGGTTTACTGGAGCCCTATACCCCTGAACCGACTCTAAACCCAGGCCCAAGTTCTGACATTCACGAAGACCATCCTTGTGGACTACATGCTCATAGGCTTCAGACAACATGTTCCTAACCCCCAAGGTACCTACTATATAGGGCCCTAGGGGCTCTAGTACCCTATATGGTAGGTACCTGGGGGGTTTGGGTCTTCTAGCAGCTTAAGGCAAGTCGCATGTTGAGGTTTGGGTGGTCACGGGACAGTGCAAGTAGCAGCACACCGTAACCTGCGAAATCCTTATCCGAAACCCTCAGCCCGACTCCCAGAAAGCTGGGTCTGGGCTCCGGAGAAAGAACATTTTTTTATTGCGTATACATCTGCATATTTGTGCGCATATTTTTGTATAGATACACATACATACACACACATGAAGCAAATACAGATGCCTACTACAAGCAATATGACCATGGTTATTGTGATTGGTCGTAGTACCAGTAGTAGCAGCCTCAATGTTGACTTTAAACAACTTACACATCAGTAAGTGCCGATGACGAGCTAGTTTTGTCAGAACAGTACTACTAGGAATAGCCACCGTCCGGGCAGTCATAGCAGCACAAGAAAGAACACGCTCAGCCAAGGTATGACGTGACGTCCAAGGTGGGCACTGCCCTGACCGATGCGTTGGACAAGTCCGACGGCGAGACCTCCTCCTCAGTGAAGACCTCCTTGGACTCGGTTGGCGATGCCATCACTAGCTTCGACAAGGAGAGCTCCGGAAGTCCCGCGATCCTAAACCGCAGGCCCCACCCAAGATGCGAAGCTAAGACCCCAAAGCCTGAAATCATAAACTTCAAAGAGCTAACCGCGCGAACCCCCGAAAGGGCCACCGGATTGGGGGTTTTAGGGCCGTCGGCGATGCTGGCCAACCCTTAGCGGATTGCAGCCGAGGCTCCTTCCTTTTCTGCTTTTGTTTGGAGGCTTTCTTGATTAAGCCCCAGCCCTTGCTTTTGTTTGTTTGAGAGCTCCTTGGTAAAGGAGCTGCCTTCAAGCTGAGTCGTAGGGCTTGGGCTTACTTTCTATCCCACCGCTGAAGTCTGCAATTCTACTCCTACTACGGACGACGGCGACTACCACTACTAACTGCGCCAGGACGTTGGCATCAAGGACACTCTCGGCTCTCTGATCCTTTCCGGCACGGACCTTGCAAGCCAGTTGGCCACCAAGGCTCCAGGGGCCTGTCCGATTCCCTTAAAAGGTCCTTGTTACGCGTCGTAAAAGGAGTTTGGGGTTTAAGTTTAGGGTTCTGGCTTTGGGGGTTTTGGAGCTACGCTGGCATCAACAAAACTCTGATAATATACAGACGGTTATCTACACATACACACATGTTCAAAAGGTTGCCGTATCTTTAAAAGCAGGTGGTCGAGTTGAACGATCAGTACAAGGTCACCGACCAGCTCAAGGCGAAGAAGCTTGCCTGGCTTTCAGATACCTAAGGCGAAGCCTTCCCATACCTCCCAGGTATCTACTATATAGGGCCTATAGGGCCCTAGGGGCTCCTAGTACCCTATATAGTAGGTACCTGGGGGGTTAGGGCTTGACTTCTCAACCAGGTAAACTCTAAGACGCACGCTACGAACCAGGAGAGGAGCCCATATAAACAGGTGAACACACGCTGCCGACACTGATGAGTTGAGGCGGGTACAGAGGACGTCTACGTTGTGTTATGACCAGGACCTCCGTGAGGTCCGGTCTCATTAATGCCTGCCTGAGCCCGAAACCTACCTTAAAAAAGGGAAACAGAACCCGCAAACTCCAACCACGAACAGCAACAAGAGTCGTGTGCCTCGATAGCTGGGGGAGCTTTAATGGATCGCTGCCGGGCAGGCTCCTAGCTTCAGGGCAAAGGAGAGGCCGTCAAAGCCGGAGTGTAGGACCTGCTTTCATGAAGGTATCTTGGCCCTGAACCCGTCTGAAGCTTTACAGCCCACCCTCCCAACCCCTTTCCCAGGAACGAAACACCGCCAACCAACGACTCCAGCATCTGCAGACCCTAACTCCTAGACGCCTGTATAGTGCCCTTGCTATCGAAACGCCATCACGGATCCTCGGAACCCTACCTAAATGTAGACCTACATTTGGTACTCTTTCTTATAATTATAGGCCCTCTAGAAGATCGATACCTGACCCCGTCCCTGAAAAGGAAGCCTCAAAGCCGACCCCTTACGGAACCCAAACCCAAAGCCTTTAAAGGATCCCTCACAGGAATCGTTGCAACCCATAGAGGGGAGTATGATTATAGGGTTCCATAGTAGGGGTCCCCCTTACCGGGTACAATGAATTCCCGTAGAAAGGGCCCCCCTTAAAGACCCATAAATCCCTAAACCTTAGCCTTAAACCCCTTAAGTCACATGCCTCGCCTGGAGTGTCCGAGTGTGATCGCCGAAACCCCTTAGAGGAACCCCATGAATTAAACCCCTTGAAGAAACCCCATAAACCCCTAAACCCTAAACCCCCCATCAATCCTTCAGAGCAACCTTAGAAAACCCGAGGATCGATGAGTCCCTCGAGAGCTCCAAGAGCAGCTGAGAGCTTCCCATTGTCCTGCGCTCGCGCTTCGCCGGGCCGAAGCCCTGAGCTCCAACCCTTATAGGGCTTATAGGGTCTTAGGCTTTGGGGTTTAGGGTTTATAGGGTTTTAGGCTTTGGGGTTTGGGGTTTAGGGTTTATAGGGTTTTAGGCTTTGGGGTTTGGGGGTTATAGGGTTTTAGGCTTTGGGGTTTGGGGGTTATAGGGTTTTAGGCTTTGGGGTTTACGGCTTATAGGGTTTTAGGCTTTGGGGTTTACGGCTTATAGGGTTTTAGGCTTTGGGGTTTACGGGCTTTGGGGTTTAGTTAGGGCTTATAGGGTTTAGGTTTTGGGGTTTAGGGGTTGGGGCGTAAATCCAGAGACCCTATAGCCCCTAAAATCCCGCAGCCCTCAAACCCTAAACCCTCTCGCCCGATACCCCCAAGTCCCCAAGACGCCCAAAGGATGGGCCCCAAGACCCCGAACCCTTAAACCCTTGACCTTTAACCCCTAATACCAAACCCTGCCCAGAGGATCAGTTGCATTGAGAGTTTGGAGGTTTCCGGTCTCGGGTGTTTCCTGGCCTTCATGGAAGTAGGGTCTCGGGGGTCTACTTGGAATAGGCTGCGTAGGGTTTACCGTCTGCTTGGCCTCAGAATCCTGTTTCCGTGAGGTTTAATTAATTATAGGTATTATATTGTCTTACATGTATGCAAATTTAAGATGTATTGTAGAAGCTCGGTTGTAGGGTTATAAGGACTTTGATTCAGACCTGTCCTGGCTGACGCGGGTGGTGGCGAGCTGCGCACAAGGGCCGGTTGCAGAAATCCCAACCCCACAAGCCCTCAACCTTCACACCCTTGGAGCCCCTGAGCCTTACCTTAAGAACCCAAAACCCACTTTTTTGAAGGTTCTGATTATAAACCCTAATATGGGATCTATAGGGACCCTACAAAAAGGTAGGTTTTGGGTTCTTAAGGTACAGTTCTACAGACCAAAGAAGGCTTCAGTGTGGATCGCTCGCTATCGCTGGCCAAGCTGGAGAAGCTTGCCGCCCATTTTGCCCCTCTCAAAATAAGAGTTGCGTAGAGTCCTAGAGGCTGTCTGGCATTGGGGCTTCAGGGTTTGGAGTCTTCTGCTTTAGATAAAGCCTTATAAACCCTAAACCATACCATGTATAAATGCTGGAGCTTGTAAAAGTCCAGATTGTTCGGTTGATATCGCAAGCGACTTCAGGTGTGGGACAGCTGTGGCGACAGTTCATAGAGGTCTAGCTCTCCAGTTTGAGTTGCAGCTTACCCTTGCACAGTCACAAACTCTGCTAAACACTATATCCCAGATTGCTATACCTGAAACCATATCCACGAAATTGCTGCGTCCTCTGCTGCAGCATAGGATGCATTCCATGCCCTTGCTTGCTTTCGGCTGTGTCAAAGCCTTGGATTTGGGGATTTTAGGGTTTAGAGCCGCAAGGAGGCCTGTTGAAGCAACAAAGCGGATCCCTTCAAGCGTATGTCGCTGCACACACAATGTGGCCATGTGGCTCAGGAATCTTTGCAACGCAGCCAACGCGACATACACATATTTGTTGAAAACCAATAGCCTGTGCTCTGTACATGGATTGAACTCGGTGTGCATCGGTAGTACGAGGGACTATGATTTCTAAATTCGATGTTTTATTAGTATACTTCTTTGGTTATGCCAGCCTCTTTTTCTTCGAAATCGATTGCTGTACAAACTTGTAAGGTGCCTGGCGAAGCTGGGGTAAAGTGCCTTCCGCAGACTTGGCAGTAGGTGCTTGCTTCTGACCGCCCTCCCACCTAGCCACCCTCCAAGATAAGGCTGCAGCTCAAGAAATGCGTTCTTGCCCAGGCCCCAACATGTTCATAGGTGTACGGGTGACTAAAGGTCCGACAGGAGCTCCATTATCAACCACTAGTCACTGGTTGCCTACAGACTCAAGCAGGCCAATCGCAGTTTCGGGGTTTTCGTGGTGCAGGCAAGCAGAGGGACATCAGGTCACTTCCAAACTAGGTAGTCTTTTGAGAAGACCCTCTCCTTCCAAGTGCTTATCCTAATCGGCAGTTACCGTAGACTGTAAACTCGTAGCTCTCCAGCGTATACCGTAAACGACCCTACACTCTATGCCACAGAGGTCCAAAAGAAACCTGTTTGAAATCGTTACCCTTATGTTTAAATCCTACATAAAGTATGACTCCATAGCGGCGGTCTGATTGCAAGAGTCTGCAGCACGTTTTGAACTACTCTGCACAGTGCGAGAAAAAGTTGCGAGTCCAGCGGTCCGACTTCAGGGGCTTATAGGATATATTCAGGGTTTTGAGTTTATGGGTCTTGAGATGTCTATAGTAAGGAGGGGAATGATGGAACGACACTCTTTGTTGGGTCACGACTTAGCAACGTCATCGACAAGGTACCTTCCACAAATTCTCATTGTGGCTGGGTTCGTGGAATAGTTGTAGGACAACTAACTCGAGGATTCTCTATGGATGCTTTCCAGATCCCCCATAGACCCCGCACAGAACCCCAAAAACCACATATAGACAACCCCATGCGTATGGGTTGGGGAATGCATCGGAATGAACTTCACAGCAGCCTTCACACTACAAAGCCCGGTTGCTGGCAAGGCGTAAACAGGTATCTGGGAATCAGTCGAGCTCCTCTTTCTATGTAGCCTTGTAAGCTCGGAACATCAAATCGGCCCGCATTAGCTTTGGGATTCCTGTAAAATACCGCACACTGCAGCATATGATGACATAACGCAATCTGTTCTGAGATAGTATAACAGAGTACATTGTATGCTAAATTACAGTCAAGAGTAGCATAGCATGTCTAATAGCAGAGGTATCATCATCATCATATATATATATATATAGAGAGAGAGAGAGAGAGAGAGAGAGAGATTCCTCCAGGCCAGAGCTACAAAGCTCGGAACTCCAGCTTGCCAGAGGCAGGGCAGTTCCTGGGTGTTCGACAGGGTCATGTTTCATGTTACATCACAAGATATATAACTTACAGTTCCCGGTGCTTTGGGATTCCGCGTGTGTCTGGCTCTCTTTCCAGCGCCCTCAAGCAAAGAACGCAGATTTAAGGTCAGCTTTCGAAGCGTTTACTCCAACCCCCCCTGGACCCTAGATGCACGAAGCCTTTTCCTTGATTCTAGAAACCTTCAACCCTTGTTTCGAAAATATGTTGATCCTCGGATTTCAACCCGTGCCGTATGCATTCGACCCGAAGTTCGGGCCTCGAAGGTTTAGAATTCCGTTCCCTCCCCTAGACAAAAAACAGGAACTTGTGTGAGGCCCCTGTACACACTTCTTCCTTGAACTGCAATTTTTGGAGCTTCCATAGTATAGGTTCCGTAAAGGAAAATGCCTAAGTTCTTCCCTCGAAGCATGCCGTGGTTGCGAGCAGATGTACGGGGGTTGCCACGTATGCCGTCCTGTGGACGACTTCGACGCTGATTCACGAAACCGGTTTTGTTGTTAAGTGCCCTTGATGACAAAGAAAATACGGCAGTCAGGAACATGAACGGCTGTTCAGGGCTTGGGCAGGTAAGTTTCTTTGGCTTTCGGCGTCCCACCTGGCTGAAAAACAGATCGTTGCACACGTTACCAACAGCGCTGAAAACCAGCATACATCGAACGGCTCCAACCTATACACCTTGGGGTAGGTCTTTCTCGTTTTTCCAACTGTTAGGGTTAGATTTTGTCGTGGTCCTAGCAAGAACCAGGTTCTGGTACTATGGGGGCTCAAAAAACTTACCAATACTATTCTGGGGTTCTTATTATAAGTATCGTGTCATACAGCCCAAACCCCTATTCTAATTATTATGGCCCCAAACATAGAACCCTACTATAGATCCCTTATAGACCCCTTTTAAAGATCCCTTGAAGGGAACCGTGTTCTAATTCTTTTGGTCCTTATATGGTAGCGCGAGAATAGCCCCCGCAACGAGGAGCCTTTGCCATGCTCGGCCTACCACTGCAGCAAGTGCTTCTTGCCTCCGAGAGCCCAAAATATCCTACACATGGGTAGTTCTAGGGTAGTTCTCTACATTCGGATCCCTTTTAGGGTCCTTTTTGTAAGGGCGCCGTACTAGTTTGGGGACCTAGAAAGCGAACCCGCTTTAGAGAACTACCCATATGCTAGTACAACATCTTCATATTATAAAGTCTGTTTGGGGTGCCTTATGTTGGCCCGGGGGTACTTATAACTAGGTTCTTCTCGCGCCTTGCCAAACGGGGGGAGGAGCTTCCTACACTAACCATGAAGCTGAAGCTTAGACCAATATTGAGTCGCATCAGAGAGAGAGAGAGAGAGAGAGGGAGAGAGATTATGGAATTCCCTTGCGTACCATGTAAGTATTTGAGATCGGCTGCGGGTCTCCAGTTGAGTGAATCAGTTGATCGAATTACCAGGTCCCTGTGCGGGCTCAAGCAGTTTGTCAATCTCAAACCAACTTGGCACTGCATTCAGGGACCCGAAAGGCCCTAGTCCTGGGTTGGTCTGGCCCCGTGCTTCCTGCCCAATACTTGAGCCGCATCACTCATAAGCGCATATCCCAAAACCCTATAGACACCAAACCACAAAACCCGAAAGCAGGCGACAAATATGAAACTGTAGACAATGAGGTGGGCATCAGTCGGAGCAAAGCAGATGAAGCATGGAGGGGCCGTGGTGACGAAGCAGGCGGCGCCGGATTTGGAACAATGTTTAGTCATGCGGGGCTAGGGGTCGCTAAACCCTGCCAAAATCTACTTTATACTAGAGTCTGTACAAGTTTTAAGGATATAACAGGTTAAAGTAGGGTGTGGTGGCACACAATATGCACCTGCAGCAAAGCTTTGCAAGGTGTATGTATGTGTTTATGTGTGTGGGTTCATACATATGTGAGTATGCGTGCCTATATATATATATATACATATTCATATATATTAATATATATTAATATATATATATATATATGTATATATATATATACATATGTACACATAAAACCATGAACGTGTAATGGTTATCTTGTCCTTCCAGCGGTTGGCCTCTACAGTTTCCT